AATCCTAAAGTAGTAAATAAAACTCAAGGAAGAATTGCGCAGCTGGAAAAAAAAAAAAAAAAATCAAAACAATTAAAGGAATTTCAAAGCTATTCTTTTGGAGTTGGCCTGTGAAGAGTAAATATAATAGATATATTCATATATGTTCACTGTCTAATATCGGAGAATGGAATAATTTCGAACCAGTATATATAAGTGAACTTTGGAATATTTCACTCCATCGACCACAGCCAGCAATATTGAAACATATTACTCCACAATCTACATAGACAATTTCTATAAACAAAATATCCAGTAAGTAATAATCAATTTGCTTAGCAATTCTCAAATCCGAATCTAAAACAGTATTCTTAACTCATGTATCCTAGTCGATGATAATGATGAGTTCAAAGGTATGCAACTATATCATATTAATTCAACATATTAAAATAATACTAACTATTTTGATAACCATAAGATTCAGTTAATATAGATCAATGTGAAGAAGACAAAACAGAAAAATATAATGATAAATGCTTTAAATCTATAATGCTATTTCGTATCTTGTTTAATACTCTAATATTTCAAATCGACTTATTTCAGACGTCCTAGTTGTGATGCCAAGGTAGATATGAAAAACCTAATAAATATTATAACTGTCTTATCTACTACTAACTAAATTACTAATTTTCAGTATGATAAAGGTTGGATTTCCACTATATACAGAGTGGGCGTTGAAGAGTAACCAGAAGTTAGGCAATAGGGTAGCAGTATTAGAATTAAAAAAAATATTAGAGAAATATTAGATGGCTTTTTTTTAAGTAGTAATTAAAAAGATCATGAGAAAATGGATGTGCAAGCAATGCACAAAGAGCTTTTGAAGTATGCTGAGACTAGTAATATAAAAAAGGAGGATATTACTCAAATTTTGACAATATGCAATTGGATCAGCTCGTACTCTAGTGCTTCTTAGCAAAAGTAACACAGAAACAACTTTAATTAATATAATAAATAAAATTTGTATATTCATTTTAAAAATTTTTAACTAAAGTAATAAATATCTTGCAGTTCACAAAGATCAACCATGTAACATTAAATCGTTTATTAGAAACTCACTTTTTAGTAGATCCAAATATTTTTTAAGCGTCTTCTTAATATGACTTCGGTAACAACTATGTTCATGTTGTTAATCTACCTCTAAAGTTTAAAATATTTGTATAAAATAAAGTAAAATCGTAGCATTAATAGGTCTAATATATATAATGATTAATTAACTTATATATGCATATCATAGTAAATGCTGTATGTCTTAAAAGTAAAGTTTTTACAGAAAAACTTTTGTGAGTAACAGTTTTAGTATCAAAACCATATAGTACTACTCTATAGATTTGTATAATTTATTTGGAAAATTTATTTAAAATTTATTGGCTTTTATATAAGCTAAAAACTTTGATCCAAGTCTTATCTATATATGATCTGCGTCAAAATTTTGTCCAGATAACTGGCGGATCATCAATTAAATATTTTAGAAGTTTCAACTTAAAAAACCACAACTTATGAAGATATAATTAAGTAGACTAATAACCCATATGAAAAGAAGCATCAATTGCAAGAATTAAGCAGTAGTTTCATATTTAGAAATAATTTGTGAATTAAGTCATATAATCAAAATAGTGCTGTTGCATATAAGATAAATTTGAATTGGAATCTATCAATATAAACATTTAAGACTAAATAAATAAAGAGATCAGAAAAATAATAATAAATAAAAATTGTAAAATCAGATATTCAAATATAAGAAAATATTAAATGTTTAGAGATTCAAATTAATGATTAATTCTAAATATATGAAGATATGTTGCATTAAACTAATTTGTAATGAACAAAAATTTATTTATAAATTGAATAAAATTATAAACTTATTATACAATTAAAATTAAAGATCTTATATTTAAGGGATGTGGTAACTTAGTGAAGTAGTTGGGTTGTCACCCCCAAGCAGCACATCTAGAGTTCAATTTCTACTGGCAGCGAAAAATTGAATTCTTTTGTATAATAGCAACTCTTTTGTATATTGGGAAGAAGATACTGTAACATCAGTTATACCTTATATAGGAAGAATATCTATTGCACTATCAGGTTGATCTAAAGGAGATCTCAGGGTATTTGTGTAATGTATAAGTTGTACAAAGAGAATACAAAACTGATAAGGGGGCGTAAACTCATAATAAGTCCTCGAATCATGTTAATCTGATGAATAGTATTATAGGAAGCCTGCTTGGTAAGACCCGAGTAGAGAGATAGCACAAGCTTTCAATGATGCTTACCAGAATAGGCTTTACCTGAGGCTAAAAAACTGGACAAGGCAAGAGTACTGGCAAGTTATTCCATCAACCAGGCCATCAGATTGACTAGAGAAAAGACTAGTGTCCTTTCTGGGCCATCTGGATTAGTAATCTAAGGAGACTGGCTAGGGGATACTGAAAGGGAAGGTACTGGGTTGTCTTGAAGGAAGAGTGCTAAGGCTTGAGTGAACTTTGCAAAGGCCAGGTAGTTAGGTAATGTGGCCTGCCCGTAAAGGTTTAGAACCTATCTGGCTACCTATCTGTGGTAGAGATTGATGGTATGGCTTGTTTGTAAAAGTATAGAACCTATCCAGCAATATCTATTTGAAAAAGACTAGGTTATACATTAAAAGTGGATGATAGACAGCTCTAGCAGGTGATGCACTCAAGGATGAATCAGCAATACCAGTAGTTCTAGAGGTGAACTTGCGATGATCTCAGAACTTGGACTGATTAATGTATCGCATGTTCCAGGTGAGGTTAGATGGATTGGCATAGGAAACTCAGATCAAAGAGTTTAATTGGGTAGCTCAAGTAATAGTAGGTTATAGGTATGACATCTAGTGTAAAACCTAGTAATAGATAGATACTTAATTAGGTGCTTAAAAGGTGCAGATATGGCTAGAATATACTCTCATCAGAATGTACTTGTCTGAGTCTCCTTGAAAAGGGCACTATATGTTTCTAGTATCTAATAAAAGCAGTGAGCCAAAGAGACTAACCTTGACTATAAAAAAAAAAGATCTTATATTTAAATATCGAATATTTATAGTCAAGAAGGATTTTAAGTTATTATAAGATATAATTCTGGAAAAATTATATAAAACAGAGGAGTAGTAGATAAAGATTAAAACCCTTTTATAAAAAAAATAAAAAATATATATATATTAAAGCTTTTTAATGTTTTGCTAGACAAAGCAATATCCTATTACTTATTATTATTATTATACTTCTCAAAATCATTTCATATATATTAATTCAGTTGTATATCATTAAATTACTACTTTATATATAACAATATATATATATATATAGCTTCAAGAATTATAAAAATAACCAAAGTATCCAGATAAGGCTTAGGAATCAGAAAACCTTATTTTTTTTCAAGAAAACATAATACTTTTATATATTAAATGAAAGAATTTACAGATAGAAGAAAGAAAATTTCAGAATACATTATTAAATGGGAAATTAACCAAATTGAAGATCCAATCCAGAAGAAATTGTTCGAACTGTTACAATGTAATCAATAATTATATTATATACTCATCACATATTCCAAGTTAAAAAGAAATAAACCAATATTTAAAAGAAATATTATAATGATCGAAAATAAGATCTAAGTTTCTGCTCAGTCATTGCCGATACCAAAAGAAAGGCAGCTATCTTCACTAAGAATAAATTTGTAATTTCATATTAGAATACAAGAGCTGATATATAATATATCAAATATGAATCTATTTATCATTGATTCAAGCTCTATCTGTTACAATTATAAGAGTTTCTAATACTACTGTTACAAGTTATCTATGTCTGTCTATATATCGCTTTGCATCGCAGCTACTTAATGATTCCAATGTAGTGTTATAGAATGAGTTGTAGTATGGTGCATGTAGCCTAGAACCAGAGTCATATGATCTAAGCGGCCAATTTAGATTGGAATCTGAATCCGAATATTTCCGAGCAGAAAATCATTGAACACAAAAGACGAGCATGCTTTTCCTAAAATTTCTGAACTTAACTTTAATCGGAAAACTAAACTAGTGCGAAGCGATGGGTACATTTGAAGATCACAAGACAATTGCAAACTCAAGCGTGGGAAGATCAATCTAAAAGGGGGCAACAATGATGACAGCCCACATGCTTGGCGCAAAGAATCAGAAATAAGAAGACGACAACAATGATGATAGCACCACATGCTTGGCGCAAAGAAATAAGAATAAGAAGACAACAATGATAACAGCACCACATGCTTGACGCAAAGAATCAGAAATAAGAAGACGGGTAAGGGCAATATAAGTTATAAGTGTAAGAGACAAAGCCATGTGATTTCATCATTTCTTCACTTGCGGCCGGCTTTCTTCTGTTGCGAGATGTCTCTACTGTTTTTGACCAACTCGGTCAATTGCTTTTTATCATGTATTCTGCTAACCTTAATCAATAAAATATCACCTCCGGCATAAATCATCAACCAGCATAGTCCAAATATTGAATGTTGTGTAAACTGAATGCTTTTCGGCAATTAAACTTTAATCAGAAAATTAAGCACAATTAAACTTTAATCGGAAAATTAGGCACAATTAAACTTTAATCAGAAAATTAGTCATAATCTAATGTATGATCGATTGTTGTCGCTGTATCTATATAATGCAATGAAATGATAACTTATGGTAACTACAAATTAACATCAATTGAAAAAAATTTTCGCACACTATGCGATATGAGCAAAGAATTATGCCAACTTTTATGAACTCTCATGATAAATAATGTAGTGGTAGTGATAATACGACAATTTCCTAATCTTAAAATTTTTGATTCAATTTCAAGTTGAAGAGTGAAGGAGTGGATAAAGAAATTAATCTACCGATAAGCCTTTACATTCCTTTAAATATATCATTGGCTAGACAGATTGAATTCAGCTTTCAGCTTTTCTAAAACAATAATTAAAAAAATAAATAAAAGCAATAAAAAAAAAATAAATAAAAATAAATAAAAGATAAAGAAAAAAGAAAAAAAAAAAAAGCGATTAAAAAAAAAAAAAAAAAAAGCAATAATAATAATAATTAAACAATCCATATCTCAATCTTGGTCATAAAATCTTGATTGGAACAATTAAATTTTTACTCAATTCAATTGTTTTATCGCCACCACCATTACCCGTCCAAGCAAAAGAAAGCAGCAACTTAAAGTTGCTAGAGCTAAGAAGCGTGCATATGTCACAAAGAAGTTAGATTATGAAAACCTGGATGATCATATTTGGTCAGATAAGGATATTGATGAGAGAGCTTCTGATTACTTTGCTGTGTTATTAATAGCTGGTAAAAATAAGGATGTCTGGGAACCTTCGGGTAGACCTTCAACTTATGTTAGAGGTTCTAAAAGAACTTTAAGACAAAAAAAGGCAGAATTAAAGAAGGCCGCACAAAATACTCAATCTATCACTGCCTACTTTGCCCTACCTTGATACATTCTAATGTTGCCTCTGCTTCGACGTCTACTTGCAAATCATCAACGGAATTATTTGCATCAATGGAAATTGAACCAATGGAAGTGGAACCGGAACCAATGGAAATGGAATTACCAGAGGTGGGATCAATGGATGTAGAATCAGCAGAATTGGGGTTAACAGAGGTGGAATCAGATGTATTAGTAGAAATTGATGAGAAAACAAAAATGAGGCTAGCAATTGAAGAATTAGATGGGATGTTAAAAAAAGATAACAATCAAATGAATAAAGGTGTAAGGGTTCGTTTGCAAGCATCATTGCAATATTTATGATTAAGATACTACCACTGTCAGAACAGAATAAACGCAAGCACGACAATTGCTAGTTCATTAGAGTGGGGAAATTATAAAGCGCGTTGTATTGGTGCATGGGCACAAAATTGGATAAAATGGCGAAAACTTCTGAAAGATAATCGTGGTAAATTTACAAAGGTATCAAGCCTTATTGATGATGAGAGAATTTCTATGAAGGTATGCATTTTTTTAATAATTTAGTACATAATGCCTTAATTCTTTGCAACTCACAAAATCATATTTTGAACAGATAATATCATATCTAAGAAGTAATAAGTTTAGCGTAAATCCTAAAGTTCTAAAAAAATATGTAGAGAATGAGGTATTCCCGTCTTTAGGCATCGAAAAAAAAACAACAATATGTGAGAAAATGGCATGGGAATGGCTTAGAAAATTAGAATGGAAGTGTAAAGAGTGGAGAAAAGATATATATGTTGACGGACATGAGCGAGAGGACATAGTACAATATAGACAAACAGTTTTTTTGCCGATGATGAAGGAATTGGAACCTGTTCTTATTGAATACGATGACAAAGATCTCACTAAACTAGTAGAGAAGAATATTCTCCCTGAAAAGAAGCGGCATTGTATAATAACACACGATGAAACCACGTTAGCCGCAAATGACGATGAGAAAACAGGATGGGGGCCTAAAGGTTGTTTGTTATTCTTAGACCAACTTTTATTTGATGAAATTATGATATATTTTTTATTAAAGCCAAATTTTTTACTTTTAATTATTAATAGACGAACACAAAATATGTCCAAAAAGACGGGGTCGGTGCATCCATATTAGTGAATTTTTGTGTGAACCACTGAGTCGAGTACATTTAACTGAAAAGCAACATGCAGCCCATCCTGAAATCCCAAAACGTTATATTACAAAGCTGTTGGAAATTGGTGCAAATTATGAAGGTTATTAGAATGTTCAATTGCTAGCTAAACAACTTGAAAGGGCAATTGATATTTTAGAAATTGCAATTCCGGATACAATGCTTGTTTTTGGATTTGACAACAGTTCCAGCCACAGAGCCTTCGCTGAAGATGCATTGGTAGCAAGCCGAATGAATGTTGGATTTGGAGGTAAACAATCTAAAATGCGGCCCAGTCGATTTTCTGATAGCACATCCCAAGAGATAGTTTTTTCATTAAATCATCAAAACAAAAAAAAAGAGGACAACCAAAAGGAATTGCAGAAGTAATGACAGAAAGAGGGATATGGGATAAAAAATTAAGGAAAAAGTATGTTAAATGCTCAACGGATGAGGAAAAGATATGTTGCAATATGAGAAGATTGGCTAGACAGCCTGATTTTATTGAACAAAAGAATATTCTTGAAGAAATTATTCTTAATTAGAAGCACAAAATTTTTTATTATCCTAAGTTTCATCCGGAACTAAACTATATCGAATACTATTGGGGTGCAATAAAAAGACATGCAAGAAGCCACTGCGATTATACATTCAAAGAATTAAGAAAAATTGTACCCGAGGCTCTTGATTTTGTGGATATCTTATCAATTAGAAAGTTTGCAAGAAAGGCATAGAGGTATATAGATGCCTATAGAAAAGGATTAACTCCCTCTGCCACTAAATTTGCTGTAAAAAAATATAAATCGCATCGAAGAATCCTGACAATATTGAGTTGTAATTGCTTTATAATAATAATAATAAAATTATAATTTTGATGCAAATTTAAAATTCTTATTTGATATGTCTAATTGTTTAAAATTCAATAATAAGGGTTCAGAATTAATGATTCGAGATCCGATTTCAGATAAAATATCGTACGGCACTGACTATAGTATCCCCCTGCTATAATACCCCCTATGAAAAAGACCCGAGTACAATTCATAGGTTCGTGATTCAGAAGATTGAATAAGATCTGGGTATTATTCTAGTTAGATAAATATAATATTTATATTTGAATCCTTATTAAACTAATATTAAACTATATAAAGTACCCTTCTGTTATAGTACCCTCCCCTGTAATTAGTACCTGAGAGGGTACTATTCAAGAAATTTAATGGTTGATTGAATAGTACCCAGGGTACTGTAGTCAGTGCCGTACAGTAAGTGATATATATTTATTTAAAAGCAACGTAAAATTCTATTTTTTAAAGTATTTACTTATTTATATAATCACTTGCCAGTGAATATTTATTATTATTAAAAAAAACTAGCAAACGATTTTTTCAGCCAATTCAGTTATAATTTTATCGCCGGCTATGTCTATCTAATTTTCTGATTTGGAATTCTAAAAAAAAAAAAAATAGGATCGAAAAAAGTTAATTCTGAAATCCCCTAATGCTATTAATCAGTTTAAATGATTTTTAATAAAACTATTTTAAGTCATTTTATTGAAGATGTCAATTGAACAAAACTTTTTTGAACATAAATTTTGGAATTGCTAATTAACGAATTGATAAGTTTTAATATCAGTAACTTATTAATTTCATCTTGGTAACTTATCGATTCGGTTATAAGAAAATTCTTCAGCTGACCCATAATTTATTGAAATAATTGTAATTTATAATGAATTTGCGGTAAAGACTTGCTTTGGATTACAAGCTGAATACCCTAGATTACTATATTTACTAGTAATATTTATGGAAATACTGATAATCTACTTCTGGTTAACACTAACAATAAAACAGTCCAATTAATCTAAATCGGGTCAAAATTTGTTTACGGAGTAGCTGTCAACAACATAGTTGTCAGCGAAGTTGGCTTATGCCAATAAAGGTTACTTGGGTTATAGATAAATGAACCTACAGGTTAAGTAATTAGTTAATAAATTTCAGAAAATTCTGAGATTACTGAAGCTTTATAATTTAAAAATTTAGGAATATGTTTAATTAGAGTTTTGGAATTAAAATCAAATGGATACAAATCAACGTTGCTGACAACTATTTTGTTGATAGCTATTTGTCGACAAATTTGGCTCTGATATAGGTTTGGGTTGGATTGCTTTATAGTTAGTATAAAGTGGCTGTTGGCAAATCTATTAGCACATTTATTTGCTATCCAATAAGTTTTTCTTAACCTGCCCGAGTTTACTATAGCCGATTTAGACAGCATTTAGATAGTTCAATTAATGATAAAACATAACTTATTTATTTTGCAGATTCTTAAGGCCACACAAAGTTAAGTTTTCGTTTTGCATAAAATTCTGGTCAATGGGTTGAATTTTTTTTTTATATTAATCTACTGTAAAATAATAGATCTATGTTTGCATCTAAAGTCGTGTAAAATTTAATTTATCATTTACATAACATAGAATTTCATTTTTTTGTTTTTTTCTATCAGCCCTATCGGTAATTCTGGGAGATTAAGGTCTCCATCAGGTGATACTGGATAAATTTATGAAAAAAATTAAATAGCGAATAATTGGCACAATTGGTACTTAAAAAAAAAAAAAGAGTTGGCAGGTTAAATCAACTTTGCGTAAGTGTGTACACATCTTTGATAAATTACTAAGTGGCCAAATTTTGGTAAATTACTAAGTTAAATATAGCGGCCAAATTTTGGTATTAATATAGAGATGCTTTGAATTCAGCAGTAAATAAATTTTGAACTAGTATGTTTAAGTAAAAACTCTTTTTGTAAAGTTACGATACTAGTCTAATAATATTAATTTACAGAGTGCTTTTCTAAAATATATATTTTTTTTTCTTAATTATAAATAACTTTAAATTATATATATAGATAAGTCACGTGACTCCAGTTCTAGGCTACACGCACCATACTGATAATTAGAATATACTTGATTTTTAAAAAACATAATTAGATTGTAAATATCCTAAAAACAAAAAACTTGCTATAAAAACTCTTAAGAAACAACTTTATTGGTATAAGTCAAATAGTTTTGACAAAAAAAAGCCAAAGTTTAAGAACTTTTAAAAAAACTTTTGGTAAGTTACTATTTTTTTATTTAAAGAAACTTGGTAATCGATCTACTGTTTTTAATAAAAAGTGACTTTGTGATTTCTTTTATGCAACTAAAGAAGTGTATTTACATTTTTGGTCCGATTTTATAAATTTATTAAGAGAAAATATTCTAACCTAGTTCTGAAAATAATATTTATCTGGTTTTGAGAAATAATATCCTAATCTGACTCTAGAAATATTATTTTTAGTTTTAAGAAAAGCATATACTAATCTAATTTTTCTATAAAAATTCAACAACCATGTTTCTGTTGATTTTTTGTAAATTTCTAGAAAGATATATCCTGACCTGACTTTAGAAGTTATATTTGTTTGGTTTTGAGAAGTAATATCCTAACCTTGTTCTATTGGGAAGACATATCCTGACCTGGCTTTGAAAGTTGTATTCATTCAATTCTGAGAAATAATATTTTAACTTAGTTATACTGAGGAGACATATTCTAACTTGGCTTCAAGAATATTATTTTTAGTTCTGGGAAATAATATCCTGACCTGGTTATACTGGAGAGACATATTCTAACCTAACTTCAATAATATCATTTTTAATTTTGGGAAGTAATACGTTGACCTGGTTCTACTGTGAAGATGTATCCTGACCTGACTCCAACAATATTATTTTTAATTCTGAGAAGAAATATCCTTACCTGGTTGTTTACGAAGATTTCAAGTTTTTATTTTTTTTTTTTGTTTTTTTTTAATTTTATGTTTTTATTTTATTTTAAATGATCTTAAGAAGAATGATCTTTATACATTTTTTTTGTTCTTTTAATTTTGTTTATTTTATTTTAAAATGATCTTAAGACCTGATAGTCGTTTATACAATTTTTTTTTTTTTGTTCTTTAATCTTATGGTTTTTATTTTACTTTAGAATGATCTTAAGACAGGTGGTCGTTTATATAAATTCTGGAATGATTTTTATTTGGTACGTATAAATCATTTGGTTTAAATTTTATAAAAAATCGATTTTAACATAAAATTACTAATATTATTATCTTTTTTTTGCAGAGTATGAATGATTACGATGTAAGTTGCACAGAAGAATCCAATATTAATTATGACGGCATGAATTGTAAAGAAAACAAAATTATGGACTCGGATTCTACTGAACTAAAAAAAACGATCACGACATTGCATAAAGAAAACGAGAACATGTATTTGGATTATATTGAGCTAAAAAAAACGATTACAACATTGGAATCGGAAAACCGGGAATATGCAAGAGCGAATATTGTATTAGCTGATCTGTTAAATGATATTATCAAAGAAAAACAATATTTTATGGATAGAATTTCAACTTTAGAAAAAGAATTGGTTTTTGCGCTATCTAGAAATTGTAATAAATGATTAATTTTTAAGCTATGACGCTTAATGCTATTTTTTAAGCTATGACGCTTAATGCTATTTTTTATACTTTTGTTATATGCTACAGTTTTAAAATCTTTTTTTTTTAATGAGAAGATTCTTTCAATATCGATATTACAAATTTACGTGATATTAAAATTCATCTATCCTAACAAATCACCTAAGCATTGTCTGTACGTATAAACAATTTAGAAAGTATATATAATATATATACATATATATTTTTCACATTAACGTTTTATACAATTCAAGCCAATTAAATTCACCGGACTGTATCGGTATACTTTCGTATTGTTTGGATACATATATAAGTATTACATCAAAGAGTGTACTGCAATGGTATAAAAATGCGATAGGTGCCGCCAAGGGAAAACAACATATTGTGATTGGGTTAAATATAACGAACACAACCCCTAAAAAATACAGAAATAGACAAGAAATAAACTTGAAGTCCCGATGACAGGTTTTTGGTGATACCAAATAATCAATAAAATTTTATTTTAAAATAAATGCATACAATTCGTGAGAAAAATTTACTAATAACTGGAAAGCGTACCAGGACAATATGCACCAATTAACGTTAACCAGATTTATAATGCAAAGTTCATTGGAGATACGCAAATTTTGACAAACATGCAAAAGCATTTAGAATTTAGGTTTCACACTAGAAAATGAAGCATCTTCATATGAAAAGTCTTAATATATATCAGTTGGTATATTGAATACTTTTTCAACTCGAACAAATCAAAGTGAAATCTCGCCAATTATCTAAGAAAATAAATTAGTTATTGGAATTGTTTTTCATCACCTCAAATTAAATATAAGACTTAAAATAGCATTAATTTCTTAGTCATCGCACTAACTATCGATAGCATGGCTTTATACTGTAACACATTTTAAAAAAAAAAATTGAGAAATGTCTTGTGATTATGATCAGAATCGAAGAATAAACTAAGTCTAACATATATCAGCTGAGTGTCTAGTCTAGAGCTTAAAGTTTTACAAATAACGGTGTACAAAATTCGATGTTTTGCATTTGTGGAGCGCATATTTTTTTATATCGAGCAAACACATGATCGTATGACATACTTTTCAAGCTCATTCTCATTGAATGATTGAAAGTCAAATTAATTTCGTACAGTAAAATATAAATTGATATTTTTTGTTTGAATCAGTAACAATTTATATCAATAAATGTCACAAGAATAAAAGGAATATTTCATATTGTCGAATATTTTCATAACCATCTACGTATATGTTTGAATGAATCTTCAGATCACTGAGTCATGATATTTACAATTAAATTTTATATAAAATACAAATTTATTTAAAGTTCAGTATTACAAAATTCAAAATATAATATTATTGTAAATCTCTAATATGCAAAAGTAAAATCGCTATATATCGAAAAATCGGATACAAAAGAGTTTTTTTTTTTATTTTGTACAATATACATCACACACCACACGAAAAATAATAGTTTTATTGATATGGCAAAAAAAAATACATAATTTAGTTTTCTGTATCAGAAGTTACAATGTAACTTTTTTTGCATATTTCTTTGGAAACTGCTTTCTGATGAATGAAGCAATATAGATTGATACAATGTTAAAACCAATTAAAATTGGTTTTAACATATGAAATAAACCCGGCTTCGACCTCCATTTCGTAGAATAATGATTTCTACAAAACGTAACACATCTCCACTGTTACACGGCCTTATTGGAAGTTTTAGTATAACATAGATGATAAAGGTGATAATTGTCATCTTGCAACACCCATGTGACCACCATATACAGGAACCATTTGTTGTTGCGAAGGAGGAGGGGGAGGAGGTTGTTGTTGTTGTGGAACATCTTGTTCTGGTTCAGGAGATCTCTGTTTTTTACGACGATTCGGAGTTTGACCATTTTCATAACGTTGACGTTTTTTTATAACGTCCGTTTTCATCGACAACGGACGTCGTTCATGATGTAATTTGAAGCTAATATAAGAGTAATAATAATATAAGTAATTATATATAAATAAAATTATCATAAATATTATTAAATATTAATTTTATATATATAAAATTATGATTAAAGATTAATTATATATATATAAAATTATGATTAAATATCGATTTTATATAAATAAAATATTAATTTTTATAAATAAATACATACTATAAACCACAAGCATTACAAAGAGTTTGACCTTCTTCGTCTCTTCGCCACAAAGGTGTAGTCATAGTGTTACAATTTGAACACACAGGTTGGGCAGCTTCATCGTCACGTGCGTCTTTGCGCACTATATGAGGTTTCATAGTTTTTGGTCTATCCATTTTGTGTAGTTTAAGGCTATTTATGAATTAGAGAAATCAAGGTCAACTCTGATCTGATATCCATGCATTACTATGTAAGTTAATATTTGTTTTTTTTCTTCCTTTTATATGTTAAGTGACAAAAACAAAAGTGAATACTTACTATAAACCACACGCATTACATAAAAGTTCATCATTAGCGGAACGCCTCCAAAGAGGCGTTGAAGTTACACCACAGTTGAAACATTGTTGTTCACCATTAGAATGAGTTTTCTTTGGTTTAGTATCAGTTGAAGGAGATGAGGATGAAGGAGCACGAGTTGTCACAGCTGAATGAGCCATTGAAGGTGACGTAGATTTAGGTATTGAAGATATTTTTGATGAAGCGCCATGACCAGGGGAATTAGTAGAAGTAGGTTGTTCTGATGTGTATTGATTCATATATATTATACCCGAATTTGAAACACTATTCAAAAGATTATTGTCATTAGATAAACCATTAACAGCATTACTCATTGACGCTATTAGATTTGAGTTAATAGAGGCAGGATTAACAGGAGAGCTGCCAGTAGTTCTTGGAACGTAAACAGCACCATGTATTCCTGAGCTCAAAGAGCCAGACATTGGAAATTGCAAGTTTTGAGTTTGTTGAGTAATTGTATCAGGTGGTAAAATATTATTATCGTACCACTCCATATTAGGAGAATTTGGTTCTGAGGGTTCAGGAGATATATTATAAACACCAATCATTTGATCCAAGTCAAGTTGCATTATAGGTTGATGATTAGGATGTAATATAGCTTGAGCATTAATACGATCGAAAACACTAGGTAACGAAACAACTTGGAATGGATCCTGATCGCTAGTATATTGTCGTAGAGAATACAAATGGCGATTATGTACATCGTTCCATATGTCTTCAAGAGATCCACCGTCATTCATCGATGTAAGAACTTCATCAGTATCATCGTGACCAACATCATGACCAACATCATGACCAACTTCGTGACCAACATCATGACCAACATCATGACCAACATCGTGACCCACTACGATTTATAAAAAAATAATATTAGCAAATGTAATAGAAGGAAAATTTAATTTAAAAGAATTAAGAGGAAAAAAAAAAAAAAAAGAAAAGGATTAAAAAAAAAAACACACACACCACTAACGAGTAAACTTTCATCTATTTCGATTGATTCAGCAATAGAAGTTACAGCGGCAACATTATCATCTTCTTTAACAATTTCAAATTCCATTTTACAATTACCACCAACAAAATCATTATTATCAGATTCATCATTATTATTATTATTAGAGATAAAATCATCGTTAGGGATGGATTCCGTAGGTTTTGAGTTCTTTACATTTTTCTGGTTACCCTTTTTTGATTGCATTACAGGAGTAGACGGCTTTTTTGTGGACTTTTTCTTTCCTTTCTTTTCAGTTACAGTATCTTGTGATCTAGGTCGATAGCTTGGAACAGGTAAGTCTTTAAGCTCAGTAGCTTTTTCTATTTCTAATTTTTTAGTAGTTGCACTTGATAATTTTTTGAATTGATTTCTAGTTTTTTGATCATGAACCATAAGATGATGCATAAACCAAAGACGCCATGATAAATTTTCTAAACGCATTCCATATTCTAAGGCATCTTTGACCTTTGTCATTAAACGCCAAGTTTTTGATAAATCTTCGTCATTATCGATAGTTGATAAAAGTGAAAAGGCTTTATTGCCCTTGATCTTAAGTTTAGTTGGTGCCATCGTAAAATACTATTAACTGGTTAGATAAAAATGATAAACCAATTTTATGTTAAAAAAATTAAAGTTTTAAATATTCAATAGTTATTGAAATATATAGTATATGTATATATATATATAGTATGCGTATATTTTCATTATTTATTTATTTTTTTTCTCTTGATAAAAACCTTATTGTCGAGTGTAGATTCATAAGAAAAGGTTCAAGAAAGCCAATGATTGCAATTGGCGTACATTCACTTTCTTTATAAACCTCAATAAGGAGATTGTCACATACCTGCAGGTCCTTGTTTTTAACCGACAGTAGTTAGAGGAAAGATTAACGGTTAAATAAAAATTTTCTCGAATTTCGTAAGCCGCAAAGATTTATATGAACAAAAAGACCAAGAGAAACAAGGGTCAAAATAAACGGTATATAACAACACTATAACGATTGTGTATAAAAAATAAAAAAAAAAAAAAGAGGCGAAAGGGGGGATTGTTTTTTGAAATAAGCAAATCAAATCACGAGGATGAACGCCTATAATTGGTTTTTACGACTTGGGCGCAGCCGGTCTACAAAGTCTACAAAGAACGAAGTGACAATTCAAATTGTTCCAATAAATATATTATTCACAGAGGGATTTGTTTATTATTATTTGGGAGAATGCATAGAATGCATGATATAAATATGACCGACATTTGAAGTAAATAATTCACGCCCAGTCCGTGATTTTGATGCAAATCTTATCCACTTGGTAATAACTCAACGTCGCTCTTATGCACACATGTTGCACTTCTTTCTAAACATAAAAAAATGTGGGTAAATATTTGTATAGTTTTGTATAGTTTTGTATAGTTTTGTTAGTACGGTAAGAATAATGAATTTTTAATTTCCCTCCATTTTATGTTTCTCATCCATTTGTAAATTTGTGATCATAACCTAGTTGGAATATCGTAAATAGTTGCTGCGCCTCAAATTCGGGTGTTCGGGCATCTTCGGACTTCATGGCTGAAATTCTACTTAAATTTATCACATTTTCTGATGGTTATTATCACTCTAGATTCATTATTATATTTCTTTATAATAAAAAGTACTATATATATATATATTAAATAAGGGTTTTTCTATATATCCATATTTGACCCTACTTTACGCCTGCATGAATGTGTTTTTTGTTTTCTTTGATTCATTGAAATTAATATTTTTGTCTAAGGCTATTAAAGCTCGGAAGTATATTCATCAAATTTTTCCGATGAAAAAAATCCGATTTCTAGATCACACAAGTGTCGGAAATTCTTGGGGGAAATTATGTGATTACATCGAAAGTGTTTTTACAGTATATAAATCTACAAACGACAATCGTTCTTTTATTTTATTGTCGTTACCTCTTGTTTTTGTGAGAATCAAATGACGAGCTGCAGGTGATACAAAATTTGGTCTCACAACAGCCATTTCATATGCTTTTTTTGAATTGTGATATTATTGAATTTTTAATTTTTAAACCTTTTTTTAATTTTTAAATTATTCTTAAAATTAAAAATATTCGTTCCGGATATAAATATGCTTTTTTTGTGTCGGAGGATTATTGGTGAAAATAATGTCTTACGATAATTAGTTTGAGCAAATCATTCCAAAATTCATTAAATTTCGCTATTGAATATTCCGCGTGATCTGCACAACATGAATATCATAGAGTAACACTTATCGGGTGTAATGTTACATTCCAATATTAAAATCTTTATTTGGTATCTAGTGGTATCTAGTGGCGTAGCGTAAGGGGCGGA